AAATAGCAAGGGAAGAACGTTATTGTTCTTACCCTAACGAACGAGGATGAGTCGCTCATATTATCAATATTTCTAATTTTTAAACTATCTCTACTCTTGTGTGTAATAGTTTCGTATCTAAGAATATTGACCAAACCTTAACTTCTCTATAAAATCCATCAAAAAAAAAACTTCTACGCATAAAAGCACTTTTAAAGAATCATAGAAGATCGTCTATAAAAGCATGAATGGTCATATAACAAAGGTTTTCATCTGTAAAGTTTATGAGTAGTCTCAATAAAAATCTACATTGGCCCTCCCATAAGTGAAAAAATATAACGAATATTCATTAAAATAAAAATTGCGGGACGATATTCTATGAATTAAGACACATAGACGTTATTGTATGGAAGACAAATTGAAGAATTGTGGAAATTCTTCTGGCAATAACATAACTTTTAAAATAGGAAATTGAACTGGATTTGTGACGCAATGTAATAACTTCAGTTTTGTAATAATTACCAAAGACCTAAAATGGTAAAGACTAGACAAAATGCATTTTGAGCAAATGGTTTGTGTCTATACTATCTATATAACAGTTCATGACAGGAAAATGTTAATATCAAAAATACATTTATAGAAAAATATGACAAACAAAAGTTTGAAAAAATCCAAAAATTGTGTTTCAAAATTCTATTCCATAGACTTTCCAAATTAATTGCATATTGCCTAAGCGGCTTAAATCGCATAACATTGCTAACTATTATGTTGTTACGATATCATAACAACAGAAGTATTTTCACAGGGTTGCCATGTCTTGGCTCTGTCTTGTCCCATCTATATACTTCTATGTCTTTGTAATTACTTGTTTGGTTACGATTTAAACTTGACATTGCAAAATGATTGATGAGTTGTGGGATAAACACGTAGATATTGGTTTTTTAATAAATGAATAGAATATAAATACCAAGCTAAACCAAACATTGTTACATTTGTTCGGTTTTTTTTAAGAAGCATTATTCACTTCAAATAACAGAAACCAAAAAATGCGTTCGTACATTTTTGTATTGTTCGTAGCGATCTGTTGTTTCGCAGTTTACGCCAATGCCGCTGCATTGCCTGCAACTCCAAATGATGTAGATGGGCCAGTACAGGATTCCCAAGACAATGGTATTTATTTATTATTCATTTCTTTCCTTGTATAATAACAACATATTTTTTTTTCCATTTCAAAAGTGGTTCCTGAACCCAACGTAGATGGACCAGTGCAGGAAGCACCTAATAATGGTATTTTCAATATCCAGATTGTTCTTATATTACTACAATTCATGCTCTTCTTTTTCAGGTGTAATTGGAAATGTCCCCGAACACAATGGGCCCCAAAACTGTACCGAAGCTCGTACGAAATTCTTGCTTTTGCCTTTGTTATTCCCCGATCAATTTTATTTCTAATTAATTGTGGGCTCAAGCCTAACACAAACGTTTAAAAATATATAAATGATTTGTATGCAAAAGCATTTTATTGCCTGAAATAATTATCGGATACTAAGTGGATCGATTTTTTGTTATATATCAAAATAAACCAGTCAAAAGTTGGGCGGGACCGGCTATATGATACCCTACACCACTATGCATATTTAGTAGAGCTCCCGTAACAAAACAATTTAATTGAAGTAGATCATTGCACCTATCAATACTTGGCTTTAGAGCAGTTTAGTTTGGTCTCAGTGAGAACTAATATATAGGAGGCATATCCTATTCTGAATCGATTTTCACTAAATTTTATAGCAAATAACATTGCTATAGAGTGCATTATATCACTTCGAGAATGATTATATTAAATATATATCGGAGCCGGGTTCCACAAATGGAAAGGTACGTCCCCAAGTTTCTCCATTTGGGCTCATATTAGTCATTATTTGCACAATAAACCTGAAATCGGATTAAGGATATATGTGGAGCTATATTTAAATTTTAGCCGTTCTTGATAAAATTTGGCAAAGGTATTTCTGAGCTCTATAAAATATCTGGTACCAAATATCATTGTTGTCGAATGCATTTTACGAATATGAGGGACTTAAACACCAAATCGGATGAAACACATATATGGGAGCTATAGCTATATCTGGACCGATTTTCTCCAAATTTCATGTAGTTGCTTCTAGACTGAATTCGATTGGATATACCAAAAATTTTTGACATATATCGGCCATTTGCTGAACAATTAACCCGAAATCGGTTGAAGATATATATGGGAGCTATATCCAGATTTGATCTAATCTCGATAAAATTTGGCAGAGGTATTTTCGACCTCTTTAACACATCAGGTCTCAAATGTCATTTTGTAGAATGCATATTACGAATATGAGGGACTTAAACACCAATTGGATGGAACATATATGGGAGCTATAGCTATATCTGAAATTTAAATGTACTTGCTTCTAGACTGAATTCGGTCAGATGTGCCAAAATTCAGGTCATTTGGACTGATATTGACCATTTGGTGCACAATTAACCCGAAATCGGTTGAAGATATATAAAATTTGATACACTTATTTCAGAGCTGTATCTGATAACTGGTACCAAAGATCATTGTTGTGGAATGCATATTACGCGCGTGAGGGACTTTAAACCCCAAATCGGATAAAACATATATATGGGAGCTATAGCTATACCTGAACCGATTTACACCAAATTTGAAGTGATACTTTCTAGGATAAATTCAGTCGTAAATGCCGAAATTCATTTGGGCTGATATTAGCCTTCTGGTGCACAGAGGGTATAAAATGTGATATGTCACCATAGAGTGTAATTTAGCTCTAATATTAGTTTCCCAGCCTCCAAACTCTATGTCACAGACACGTTGCCACAATTTCAGAGCAACAGATTCATGCTTTGATTCAAAATGCCGTTGGTGGTATAAAAGAAAAAAAATCTAGCCAAATGTTTAGTCAAATACTAAAAGAAAAGTTTTAGAACAATTCTTACATCGAATGCAACAGGCCTTGTGAGGACGAAAAGAGAGACTAATTATGGCAATATATACTAAAGGCCTGCACAAGACGAATTGTATGAATTATGCTTTTTTCGACACACTGACTTTGTCTACTCAATCATGCGCTATGTATTTGATAGGCAATGACAACCAACAACATCCCCCATTTTGATTCATGTGTGCCATTGTCTAAGGTTCGATCGTGGCATGGCTGACTCGAATATTTGCATGGTGTTCTCCATAAATGCAGGGTGTCAACGATAACATCGAACCGTGTCATCGTCAAATTGTGTGTCATTTGTGTACGTGTGCTTAAATTGAGAGAGTGTGTGTGTGTTACTTTCGACGGTGAGGATGTGTTTTTGTGTGTGCTGTAATTGGAAGTAACAAACACGGCATACATATAAAAGTGAGTACGAAATCAATAATTAAAAATATTCTTTATGACGTAGTTGAGGGCAGAAATATTAAGAAAATGTATCAGTTCTTTTTAATAATGATTGCCATTTTGGATTGTTTCGTCAATAGCCGAAATGTGAAAATTTTGTGTGGACCAATTAGAAGTACCTGAAATATGTTATTATTCGCCAAGAAATACTTTATTACAAAAATTGTATTTTTCACATATCGGAAAAACAGGTAGCGTTTGCGCATTTGCCTTCATTACGTGTGTGTATTTCTCGTTGGCAATTGTTCCATTATTGTTGTAATTTTTGTGGTAGAACATTTTTGTATGACGCACTATTCAACATCCCCTTTTATTGGTCATTACATGTTATGACGATGGGTTTGAGCCTGACCGACATGACGAGACATCGAGCATTTGGTTGGATGTCACGTACTGTTATGCGTTTGATCAAACAGGGCACAACATGACGAGCGTTTTCTCTCCATGGCATAAATAGAGAAATATGTCACACTTGCAGCCCTTTAATATATACTTCAAAAGGCAATCAACAATTTTGCTCCTTTTTTATAGACCATCGATATTATCACCAATCAAGGGGTTTTAGTATCTATTACACACATCTCTTTTACTGTTTGTATTTTTTCTCTGTTCTTGAATGAACTGAAATCCTAAATTTCTTAGCCCTGACTTGAAATAGTTGGTGTCTCTTAACCTTTAAAGACACATGAAAAAATCCTATTTGTTGGTCTTTAAAACTATGTAAGGTTATTGTGTGTACAGCAGCAATTGTTTTTCGTTCCGTTCGGAATCCTTGCTGACAAAGCTGGATAATTTGGGTTTACCGTTGAAATGCATTCCGGTGCTAAGGTCTTTATTAATTCAGTCTTGCTGCTTCATTTTATTGTTTTCCAAGTGTTCTCATATCAAACCCAAATCCCTTAAAAAAACTTCTTGGCATGATTAGACTTAAATATGGATTACCTTTGTTTGTCTCCAACTCCTTGTGCTCATTTCTTCACCGCCACTGGTAACACTCGTATCGTTTTTTTTGTACTGCTACGTTTCCGTTTCTTACGCTGCTTGGCATGATTGTAAATTGTCTCTGCATCACTAAATTTTTAAAACAGAATTAATATTCTCCCTTAAAGTGTAACAATATTAGATATCATACTTTGCAAGATAACGTACTCCCAGCCGGGGCAAATCGGCATGTTTCTTATTAAAGAAGGCCACTTCCATGCGCCTTAGATAGGCTGCCCATACCTGTAGGGCCATAAGTTTGAGTTCCTCTTTTGCACCATACGAAAGTAATTCCTCGACATAGCCTCGTAAAATGTAATTGTAACATTCCCAGGAGGTAAGTTGAGCTGTAATAGGATGATATTTAAAGTTAGAGCTACTCAGGAGATTTAAAAATGACATACGTTTCTCTGCCTTGACCACATTGATTTTCAAGGTTTTTGTATGTTTTGTGGTCGTTGTTTCATTGAAAGCATCATCATCATTTTCCACCTCTACTTGACGCACTTGCTCCTGTTTGGTACCACATTCTCGGCAATAGTAAAAACCCTCACGCTGTTCGAAGTCTGTTTCACCACAAACTGTGCAGGTTATGTTTGTAATGATCTCCTCTTCCATAGTGAAAATTAGAATTGTTAATTGAAGAGTTTCATGTACGCCACAAAGTTCTGCTCAGAAACCGTATACTTTTCCAAGATTGTCTTGGTCAGTCGTTCTCTGAAATGGTATATGTATATGTGTCAAAGGTTTTCCGGCAATGTCTACATTCTAAATTAGACTTCCATTGGGCTATACTGTCCAACTCTTACCTGTTTTAATAATTCTGTCCAATTGCCCAATAATGTCCAATTCTTATCCAATTCCAAGGTGTTCAGGAGTTGATTGTCGTCTCTGCTTCAAGCGTGGTTGGTTGTTCGTTGGAAAAAAATGAAAAACGTCCCATCGAAACGAATATGGAGGCCACAAAGGAATACCCGATAAAAAATAAACAGAAAGCAAAGACTCGGGGTACTTTTTTTGTTTACGAATGAGACATGAAAAAATTGAAAATCTTCACTAAAGAACGCGGAACTAGTTGCTACTATCGTTTGCAGAACTCGACTATGGGCTTGGGTGAAAACCGAGTACTCGACTATTCATATTCGATTTCAAATTCCTGTTAAACTATTGTGTCCAGGGGCTGGATTCTTGTTCTATGCAAATATGAAATGAAAAATATCTTGACCCAATAAAGTTAAAAATCAAAACAAAAATAGGGATAGGTAAGTCGACTTCCGATTAACCGAATAATCGACTTTTAGTACTCGAAGTTCTGAAACTCGAACTCTACTATGGACTAGGATAAAAACCGAGTACTCGACTATTCATAGTCTAATGTTCGACTTATGCTATCTTCTCATTGCCATTTGCATTTATAGGTCCAGGTTTTGCATAGCCCTCCCAATATTCGGAATTTTGATGATTTTTGCCACATTTTTGTCGGATTTGTCTAAAAATTGGTATTTGTAGTCCGTAATGGGTCCTAGTTCCGGTGGCGAAAAATTGTATGTATACGTCCACGATTTGTATAGCCCTTACGATATTCGGTATTTTAATTATTTTTGCCACATTTTTCCACGGACTTATCTTAAAATGGCTACTATAACGGTACCTTCGAATATTCGATATTTTTTTCAACGGAATTGTTTCAAATTTTGCATTAAGAGTTTATACCGGGGTCTACCTCTGCTGACTAAACATAGTCTGTATTTATCCGATCTCACTGGTATTTGCAGATTAAAGTGGTGGGATTATTGGAGTGTTTCTGACTGGAGTGTTTCGAACTTAATTTTACTTTAATTGTTTAAGAATAATTAAAAAACTACCAAATCGATTGAGATTTTACTTTAATTGTTTAAGAATAATTAAAAAACTACCAAATCGATTGAGATATCTTATATCAAAACTAGCGCCATCTTTATGTGTATTTTAGGGTTGACAATTCATTTGCTGTTTTACTAGTCGTCGGTAGATGGCAGTACACCACGTTGACTTGCATTTGTATATCCTGAACATATATAGTATAGAGGGTATATTAATTATACCCTACAACACTATGTGTTGGGGGTATTATAAGTTTGATTGGGCCAAAAATTATGTAACACCACGAAATATTGATTTCCCACACAGGAAAGTATATATGGGTCTTCCTATCTCGCCGAACTGAGTCGATGTAGCTATGTATGTCCGTCTGTCCATGTTAATTTGTAATCAAGCTACAGGTCGCAATTATGAACCGATCCTCACGAAATTGAAAATGGAGGTGGGGTTATGGTCAGAATAGAACCCTATTGTTTTTGGAGACGGATGCACAATATTTAGGGGTTGAAGTGGACCAAAAACAGAATAATTTCCTGATTTTGCAGTTGCTCTATAGGCCACAAATATGAAGCAATCGACGCGAAAATTTACATGGAGTTAGAGTTTAGGAGTGGGCAGAAACCTACCAATCGGCCATCGGCCAACAATTAGCGGGTTAAAAAGACCCCAACTTTTATGTAAGAAAATATGAAAATTTCCACTAAACCGCGAATATTTTCAATCCCAGCCAAATCACAAATACATTAAAAGATCACTTCTAAATTAAAAGATTACTTCAGTGATGCTAATAGCCAAGAAATCGGAAATATAGCAATATAGGTACAACATATATGTAAAAGAATTTATCATATTTATACTGCTTATAAATCAAGAACCGCTGAGCCGATTTTCACAATACCCATCAATTCGGAATAGTCTCTTGTCAGAAAACGATAATATCTAAGAAAATCGCAGGAAAATATATCAATTAAAAAAGGGAATATCTTTTGTCGATTTTTTTTTTCAATTTTTGTCATATTTTTTATCGCATGCGATTTTTTCAATTCGACTACAATTTTGAATTGTAAATTTTTTAAATTTTTACACCCCCCAACACTACGTTTTGAGGTTATGATATACATATCGCAATTATCGTCCGATCCTTATGAAATTTTGCATGGGGGTACGGTTAGGGTCAGAATTAAAGCCTATTGTTCTTAAGATGTACATTTTGAGGTGCAAATGGACTAAAAAATTTAATTTTTTCTAATTTGTAGTCGCTCTATAGGCCACAATTGAAAACTAATCGACACGGAATTTCGCATCGGAATAACTCTCTTCCGACAGGGAAGAAGTCTAGAATTTTGGATGACTGCAAAATGGACCACAACTTTCGCGTGAAATTGTACGGAGTGCGTAAATATTTGTTAAATTCTACGGGTCAAAAAACTAAGGGTAACCTCTGTAGTGTTGTAGGGTATCACATGGTCGGCCCCGCGCGACTATAGCCTTTGCTTACTTGTTTTGTATTTCCGTTTGTAATACCTCGACATATACATTTTAGACCCCACAAAGTATACATATTCTTGATGAGCATAAAATGTCGATTTAGCGATGTCAGTCCGCCGTCTGTGGAAATCACTCTAGCTTTTGAACAAATGAAGTAGGTTGATAAAATTTTATTCAAGTGTATATTTTGTCTGCAGGACTTTTGGTATTGAAAATGCGCCATGTAGGTCCACGTTTTGGTATAGCTCCCATGTAACGGTACCTCCTGATATTCGGTATTTTGATTGTTTTAGAGACATTATTTACCGGAATTGTTTAAAATTTGGTAGTTGAAGTTTGTAACGGATGCTGCAGCCTATGATAGAAAATTGTCTGTGCAAGTCCACGTTTTCATATAGCCACCATATATCGGCACCTCCCGATATTCGGTACTTTTTGAAGTTCGTAATGGATACTACAGCCTATGACAGAAATTTGTTTGTGCAGGTATAGCCCCCATATAATGGTACGTCCCTATTTTATTTTTCTGAAAATTTCCAAATTCGTTCTAAATGGTGGAGGGTATTCAAAACATATATATATATATATATATATATATATATATATATATATATATTCAATACACCGAAAATGGGGGGGGGTACCGTTGTATGGGGGATATACGATATCGTGGATCTATATAGACAATTCTCTGTGTGGGGGTGAAGTACTCATAAAGAACTCCTTGTGTACAATTTCAGATAATTCGATTGAAAAATGTGGTTACAATAATCAAAATACCGAATATCGGGGGGTACCGTTGTATGGGGGCTATACGATGTCGTGGACCGATATAACCCATCTTCGAACTTGACCTGCCTGCAGACAAAAGACAGATCTGTGCAAAATTTTAGCTTCCTATCTTAATTCGTTTTGACTGCAGCCTGATTACAACAGACTAACTGACGGAAAGGGCTAAATAGTCTTAGAATTTTACGCTGATCAAGAATATGTATACTTTGATGGGTCTAAAATTATTATTTCGTTGATTTACAAACGTAATGATGAACTTAATATACCCTCTATAATATGTATGGTGGAGGGTATAAAAAGTGAATATTGTTTGCTACATTTTTTCAATTTTTGCCACATTTTTTATCGCATGCGATTTTTTTGAATTCGACTTACAATTGAAACACTAAAGGTGACGGTATATAAGCAGCTTGGCATCCTCCATCCTTACATCCAATTACTATCAAAACAGAAGAAAAAGAACCAAACAGCTTATTGTATTGATTTTGAATAAACAATTGAAAACCGCGAAAATGAATGAAAGGTTAAAATTTCTTTTCAAAATCATGTTCTATATATCTCTAATTATACCATGATTGAATCCATGACCTATATAAGGTCGGCCAGAAGGCCCATCTGGCAACGAAGTTTGTTGTCACAAGACATATTGTGAATTGAAATTCAAAGAGAGCCAAATTAAAATAGTGCTGCAACTACTACTACATTTATTGTTAAATTGTTGTCAAAAATAGTATTCTTGGCTGACCTTATATAGGCCATAATTAAACCCTCTCTGCTTCTTCCCCTTTAAAATAAAAATGCAGTTTCTTCTTTCAATTTCTGAAAATACACATAACCATTTGTTTTGAGTCTTTATTAAATATTTATGTATATCATATACTATTTTTTTTTCGCTATGACATTCGTTTTAATTGTCTTTATAATTTATCTTTTTTTAGTTTGTTTGTTCTTTGCCTAAATTCTATTTACATAAATTATTAGAAAATAAGATCAACATTTTGAGCATTCTCGTTTTGTTGTTTTTCTTAACACTGAAAAAAAATAAATAACAATTATTTGTGAAATACTACACATATGCACATATATCTTAGGATTTTCTCTATAAATATATAATGTTGCAATAGGATACGAGAACCAGTCTCCTTTAGGTTTTTCGTATGAATATATAAATTTATGGTATTGGGATGTGCATTTATGAACATTGACGCAGACATATATAAATATAGAATGCATTTGCTATACACAGGACATGAATACATGCACGTACATATATTCGTAATGGGATAACGGAAAAGTAAATCATTATAAAATTTATTTTAATGGGAATATATGGAATTCAAATCGAAATGTACATTTATAAAATTTCTGCATTCAGTTTTGAATCGTTTATGGTATTTTTTTCTACTCAATACCAAAATAGTAAAGAGAATGTACTTTTTCAATATTATTTACAAGGTGAGATAAAGAAACTACAACAAACTTAAGACTGCTGTCATTTCTATGCCACTCGTACGACAGCTGTTAAAATTATTCCAGTGAGAGAACATTATATTGTTTACAAGCGTACATAAGCA